AGAGGAGAATGGGCATACCAATGTTATCCTATAGATTTCATAGAGTATTTAGGTTGTATGGCTTTGCCTAGGTCTCCTGCAGTTACCAAATTTTCAGGCAGTAGATTTCCTGTACAAATAGCTAGAAGACATAAGAAAGCAAATAACGATGCCCTTTTGACTAAGATAGCATATTTATAACCCCCTTCCTGAGATCATAGAGCTACTTTACTATTCTAATCTCATCTTTCTAGACTGACATTATTGTTGCAATACTGAAATACTGAGTGAGAGATAGAGAGAGAGAAAGTGTTGATATTGCCAAAAATTTTCTGTCTTTTACACTATAATTTGTAATCAGGTTTCTGGGGCAGAAAGGTAGTTAAGTAGTTGGGTTCTATCTTTGCAGCATCATATTGTCCCCTGAGCATCATTGACTATATCCTTAGAGATCCAGAACACTGTGGGGTGGTTCAGGTAACTCCCTGTTTTGCAGTTTCTGAGATTCTGAGCTTCTTCATTCGATTGCATTGAACCAATGGCCTAATGGACAAGAAGCAGGGAAAAATAAGTCCTCCTGCATAGAGCCTAGGAGCACCCCTCTGCCTGAAACAAAAAAATAAAAATTATAATAAATCAGATTAGTTTTGCTTTGGTTACAAACCTGTGCCTGACCGTATTTTCAAAATTTACTAAACACAGTTATCTGTGCAACTTTTCTCCCTAGAAACGGTGTTGGTGCTTGTGTTTGTGCCTGATTGTCTAGTAAGAAAACTTGGAAGATAATAATGTTAATGTTATATATAATACAGTCAATCTAAGGGATTACACATATTTTATATCAGAAATCAGAGAGGAATAGGCTGTCAGATAGAAGGAAATAGCTCTAATCCTTAATCCTCCATTAAAGATTCTTTCATTTGAGGAAGCCCAAGGGTTTTCAGACTTGAGTTTGGGTTTCATTTGCTGTATGCTCAGTTAGAGGGACAAACTAGGCATCACCATATGTGATGAGTTCTCACTGAAGCAATGCAACACTTCAGTTTCCTCATTCTCAGTATTCCTGACTTCTCTCAAATGTAACCTTTTTTATTTTTCTTTTTGGTTCACACCGGGCCATGCACAGGGGTTACTCCTAAACTCTACACTCTTGGCAGTGCTCGGTGGACCATATGGGATGCTGAGAATCAAACCCCGGGTAGATAGCGTGAAGGCAAACACCCAACCTGCTGTGCTATTGCTCCAGCCCCTCAGATGTCACCTTTTGTGATGTATACTAGACTATCCAGTGGGAAATTACAAACTCCCTCAAATCTATTTTGCCTCTACTTTATCTATTGGACTCCCATGGTCACATGGAAAGACTGGATATTTTTACCTTTCATTCACTACTGTATCTACAGTGATTAAAACCTGGCTTTTAGTAGGTGTTCAAATATATTAGATGAATTAATATATTTAGAACAATTTATTGAGCCTTAATTTATTGAGTAATTACCATATATTATGAACTACAGTAAATTATCTTTATAGACTGCCCATAACCTTTATAATAACCTAATAACATAAGCCATATTACCCTTAATTTATAGATAGGCAATTTAAAGGGCAGAGATATTAACAAAATGTGCCTTGGATAATTCTGGCGAATACTAAATTTGAGTTCAGTTTTATCTCACTGAAGCCTCTAAAATTTCCTGCTCATATATTCTTTCCATTTTTAATCATATTATCTTGAATTTCAAGCAAAAATACAGCCTTCCTGTGCTTTTTCATTAACTATATCATTGAAGTTCAGGGAGTACAGAAAAGTTTTCTGGAATGTAAAACCAACTTTTCTCCCCTTATTTTTGCAGTTTTCCTAAATTCTGTCAATAGTCTCAATTATGTACTCCTCTTTAAATATAGGCATAATGCTTTTGCAATATATTTTATAACCATAAAAATACCTCTTCATGAGAAAGAAAAATACCAAATGATCTTACTTCTATGTGGAATATACAAGGTCAAACTTATAGAAATAAAGAATAGATTGATCTTTGACGCTGAGAGGAGTGTGAAAGCAGATGTTAGTGGGTACAAAAGTCCTATTTTAAAATGAAGAAGCTCAGCCTTGGAGGAGTAATGCAGAGGGTAGGGCATTTACCTTGCATGCGGCCGACTGGGGTTTGATTCCCGGCATCCCGTGTGGGACATAGTTTATTTCTCCTGTTCACAACCAGGAGAAATTCCTGAGTGCAGAGTCAAGAATAACCCTTGAGCATTGCTGGGTGCGATCCAGAAAGCCCTTCCCCCTCCAAATCACTATAATGCAGTTTTTGTACAATCAAATGTATACATACATCTAATGTGTGAGAGAACAAGTTCTTTATAATGAATACCTTGCATAGCAGAGCCTGGCAAGCTCCCTGTGGCGTATTTGGTATGCCAAAAACAGTAACAAGTCTCACAATGGAGACATTATTGCTGCCCGCTCAAGCAAATCAATGAACAACGGGAGGACAGGACAGGACAAGACCTCATTTTAAGATGTTTAATTACAAACTTAGCAGCACTGTAGCACTGTCGTCCCATTGTTCATTGATTTGCTTGAGCAGGCACCAGAAACATCTCCATTGTGAGACTAGTTGTTACTGTTTTTGGCATATCGAATATGCCAAGAAGAGTTAGCCAGACTCTGTCGTGCAGGCGTGATACTCTCCATAGCTTGCTGGGCTTTCTGAAACGGATGGAGGAATCGAACTCAGGTCAGCCACATGCAAGGCAAACGCCTTACCCACTGTGCTGGTGCTCTAGCCCTGCAAACTTAGCACTAGGAGTAATTTTAACCTTAAAAGCTAATTATTATTGAAAGTTAAATAATAAATGCCAAATTGTTAATGATGTGTGTTGTTCCATATTTGGCTAAAAATGGCACTGGATAGTCATTTGCATATGAAATTATGTTCAGAATCAAATATGTCTTAAACTTATTTTATAGGAAAAATGATTTTTTGTTGTTGCATGGTAAAGGAAGATTTTCTGTAATTGGAAAATGAACATTTTAAAATTAATTGATTCAAACAAAATCTGTAGAAATATTTTAAATGATAGAGAAGTGAGTGAGGGAAAAATTACATGCATCATTCTAAGATAGATGCTGATTATTACTTGTCACATTTTTTTAAACACTCTTGAAATGAAGCGCTCTATAACTCATTGATTTATGCTGATAAATGTTTTAATTTTCTTAGACTGCTCTCTTTGCTAAGCTTAGATCTATTTCTGATTTTTTTCTCAGTCTCCTTCTTTTCATACCTCCCTGTCTGAATAACCTAAGCTACTTGTTGACTGCTTGAAGAAATTTTGTTAATATCATTATGTCAAAATGTTAAAGACTAATATTATTTTTATTTACTAGTCTTACCAACAGATAGTTTCATTTTAATGAAGGTTAATGGCATAACTTAAGAGAACAAATGTGGAAAACTTAAATTGTCAGTGTTAAAGAAGAGATGTTTTTAAGATAGTAATAATAATAATAATACATATTCTGAAGATTTAACATGTTTTGGGTGACAACTCAGTGTTACACTGTGCTTTATATGTGATATTTCAGTCAGTCCTTACAATAAATAAGTGATGTGTTATTATTATCCTTATTTAATTTTTTTTAATTGAATCACCATGAGATACACAGTTACAAAGTTCTTCGTGATTGTGTTTCAGTCATACAGTATTCCAACACCCATCCTTTCACCAGTGAACATTTCCCACCACCAATTATACCTATTTTTATAATAAGATGAAGTTTGGAGAGACAGAGCAAATTGCTTTAATGTCTTTTCAACCTAGTGCATAGAGAATGTGGGTTTGGAACTCCATACCCACATGTATCACTTCTCTCATACAATCACTTTCAGGCTAAACTTATATTAGACCAGATCTGTTTTCTTACTGTTGTTTTCTGAGTTCCACTATTGCGATGACTGGCATGTAGTAAATAACCAATTAATAGTTGATACACAAATTAGTTAATATCTATTATGCTCTAACATCCTTTCCATTTACCTTTCTAGGATCACTTCATGTTAGGACATCCTGTCCAATATCCCAAATAATCTAAAGTCCTGAAGTTCCAGATGCTCACATGTACAGTTTCGCCTCCTGATTTTATGCATCTCTGCTTTTCCATCCTTTCCATCTGTAGCTCCTCATTTCCCTAGAAGGGAGCTTTTACTTACCCTGAAGCCCAGAGCTCAGATGTTATCTTTCTCCATGAAACTTTCATCTCTTTGGCTTTACAAATCATTTCCTTGTAGTGTCTTCTTCCTCTTCTTTCTTTATTTTCATCTCTATCTCTTCCACTAGACCTTTGTGGTTTTGTGGGCAAATGCTTGACATGTTTTTTTTTCATTTTGTATCTCATATGTAGATACCATTATTTTGTTTTATATATATATGCACATTTCTGACATTGGTACACATATTCTAGTAGGTGATATCTTATTTTAATTAATTTTTAATTTGTGGGCCACACAGCAGTGCTTAGGGATTACTCCTGACTGTGCACTCAGGTTTCATTTTAATACTAGCGTGCTGGGGAATGATATGGGCTGCAGAAGATTTCATGCAGTTCAGCTGCATGCAAGAAAAGACTCGCTGTACTATAGATCCAGCTCCTAGTTGGTGAAATTTTGAGTTTGTAATTGACAGTGTTTCTTCTGATTTACTATTTTGATTTAGTGATATATAAAAAGTAGTTTAATTTCGTCTTGAGATCAGTAGCAGCATAAATACAATATTGTAATAAGTATTAAATAAGGTTTATATGAATGGATGGTTATTAAAATCCTCTTTAATTGGCATCCCTCATGCCTTAGCCATTCTACATCGTAACATCATGACAGGGAAATAGTTGATCATTATTCTTCATTTAGTCTGGGTTCTTCTGTCTGTGCCACAAATATTCAATAGCTCAAATTACTCTTAATCATTTCTTTCTAAGTTGATGTGATCTGTTCCATATGCTTGTCTTTTAGGTGAAATAGATCTTCAAATAATTTCCAAAGTGCGGGCTCAATACCCAGCTGTGCATATCAACAATGAAGTCATTGAGCCAAGTGTTGAACAGATTGCCAAATACAAAGGTATCTTTAACTGTGGTACTATATAACAAATCTTATTCTGAGAAGTTTATCCCCCACATTTGACCCTAAAACCATTAACTACATAGTTATCATATGTATGCCTTGTGTAGGCTTATTGGGAGGGAAAAACTAATTGATATTGGGCATTTTTAAAGCATGATTTAATACCGTGTGATAAGAATAATAAGTAATTGGTTTGCTTTTATTGACTACCCATTCACTGATTATTTATATGAATTTTAGACATTGTAATTTTTACATGTCACAAAATATCATTATTTTAATTATTTCAATCATTCAATCAAAAGTTTAATATCACAAACATTGTAGGTAATAAAATAGGTTATGATATGTTTTTAGTTCTATTTAAAGTCTATTTAAATTAGGTGGCAGATTAGCCATGGCTTGTGAGTAATAGTTGACTGATTCCTGGATTCTCAATACCTGTTTTACATTTATTTATTGGTAAATTGACTAGTGATTTTCCATTAATAAGTAACTTAAATATAACCTCTACCTATTGAGGTGTATCACAACTGCTTCTGATTAACTATTTTAGTTCAAATTTTATTTAATGTTAGAAAAAAAATCCAGATTAACTCCCTGGTAACCCAAGATACTTAAATATATATGCTTTATATTTGTTATTTATATAATATTGATTTTCATTACGTTCTACATGGAAATAGACTCCACATCTGCACTTAAAATTGATGGTTTCCTACATCTTTTCAATTTTTCAGAGCTCGTAGCTAAAACATCAGACCTTGAGAACATAAAGTTTGCTTGGCATGAGGAGACATCATCTGAATATCAAAGCAGAATTATGGAGAAAAATGAACTTCAGAAGTGGGACTTTATTCATATGGTTCAGGTAAGAAATTTTCATTGTTATATACTGTCAAGAGTAAAATTTTTCAGAATTATGTATAAAGAGTTCCAGTATTCTAATTTTAAAAAGAAAAATGAACATCTGATTTCTGATTATGAAGTGAGTAGTATTTGTCTAAAATTTTGAAAAATGGGTAAGACATAGTACAGCATGTCAAGTATTAAACCTTGCCTTGCATACTGCCTATCTGGGTCCCCTTAGGGTCCCCCGAGCCCACCAGGAGTGATCCTTGAGTGCAGAGTCAGTAGTTAGTGCTGAGTACTGCTCAGTATGGCTCTCCAATAGAATAAGAACAAAAATATAAAATAAAAGCATTGTTAATATTAAGAGATTATCTAAAAAGTTTTAATCATCCTGTTTAATTTACTCAGTATACTTGACTTCCTGTGTTCAGTATTGACTTAATTTTTATAGGGTTGGGAATTTATAGGTAGATTTGGAGCCATAGCACAGCGGTAGGGCGTTTGCCTTTGGCGCAGCCAGCCCGGCCGAGCCAGGTTCGATTCTTCTGCCCCACTCGAAGAGTCCGGCAAGCTACCGAGAGTATCTTGCCCGCACAGCAAAGCCTGGCAAGCTACCTGTGACTTATTCGATATGCCAAACACAGTAACAAGAAGTCTCAAAAATTGGAGACGTTACTGGGCCTGCTCGAGCAAACACCTATGAACAACGGGAGGACAGTGTTTGTTTTGAAGATAATAGAGTGATCTGAGTACAATTTTTTGGTAGCTTTAATGATCTGGATGAAACACTGGCACTGAAGTTTCCTGAATCCTTTTACTATTGCCTCTTAGTGAAGTAGATAATGTGTATGTGACAGAAAGATCAGCTTAGATGTTTCCTCGGGTAAAAAGATTTGACTAATATTAGTCAGTCTTTCAGTTGGAATCTATTTCCATAGTCTGTTATTATTGTATATTTCTTAGAAAGGAGGTAACTATGTAGTAGATGTTATGGGGTTATATTTTCAGGGATCACCTTATTTCTAGATAGCATTAGAGGATAGGGGTTTTGGATGTTGATGGCTATTAGAACATGTGTATATTGTAGAGCAATTATTTTGTTAACTATATAGGAAGGTTAACAAAATAAAGTTAACCTTGTAAAGCACCTTCCTTCCTATATAGTCAACAAATACATTTACCTCAAAGGAGTTAGGTTATAATAAATCAAATGAAGAAATTATTCCAGCATAGGTCTATTCGGCTATCATATCTCTGCTCTGTGAACTGACAAATTATTTACCTATAAAGGAAAGCTTAGCAGTGCCCAGCAAACCTAGACTATGTTAGCATTGGACTTGCTTTCCCATATCTTCTATCTCTCTCTAGCTCCAAAAACCCTCCCCTATCACTCATTCCCAAGTGTTGATGTTTTTCATATTATATAGAGAAATTATCAATCATTAGACGGAAACTCTTTTACCTGTTAAACGTATTTGTGCTAATAGCTACCATTTGTTCTGTGGTATTGCAAAGAGCCACCGCTAATCAAATTCCAATCCCTGGGGGCCAAGAAATATTACAGTGTATAGGGCACGTGCCTTGCCTGCAGCAGACGTATGTTCAGTCTCCAACATTCCGTATTGTTCCCTTGAGCACCAACAGAAATAACCCCTGAGCATCACCCAAAACCAAACAAAAAACCAATCTCTCTACTAATGCTCTGGATACCATTCTTTTTCCCATAAACTAAAATATTTTAGTTTTTAGACATTTTCTTTTCTCCTATTTATCTAAAAACTTTAAAGTTCTTTTTTTTTCTTATAGCAACTTTAAGATTTCTACATTACAATTAAGTTCCCCCCCTCTCCTGTACTCTTCTATTCTGCTTTTTTTCTGTGCCATGTCTCTGTCTCTCAATTATTTATGTTCGGTTTTTGTTTTGTTTTTGGGCCATACCACTTGGTGCTAAGGGCTTTCTCCTGACTGCTCTCAGGATCACTCCTAGTGGGGCTCAATGGACTGTATGTGATACTGGATATTGAACCTGGTTCAACAGCAAGAAAACACCTACCTACTGCCCTGTCTCTCTAGCCTCTCTTAATTATTTCTGATAGTTATGATATTGGGCTAGAGTGATAGCACATCGGGTAGGGCATTTGCCTTGCATGCAGATGACCCGGGTTTGATCATTCCATCCCTCTCTAAGAGCCCGGTAAACTACCAAGTGTATCCCACCCACACAACACAGCCTGGCAGGCTCCCTGTGGCATATTTGATATGCCAAAAACAGTAACAACAAGTCTCACAATGGAGATGTTAATGGTGCCTGCTTGAGCAAATCGATGAACAATGGGTCGACTGTGCTACAGTGCTACAGTTATGATATTGTTTTAACTACATGTTCAGAGTCAACTCTACAGAATCTCAATTTCACATCAAATTATGGAGTACATTTTATGGCTAACTTCCTATTTTTATACAGGTAGTATTATATATCAGTAGCTATTTTGCTGGTTTGCTTTATCTCTATGACCTGTGTGATAAATAGCATGAAGTAACCTGATACCAAAGGTGACCCCCAGAGCAGGATAGGTTCATGATACCAAATATGACCTCCAGGGCAGGACAGGTACACATACATGTAGGTCCTGTAGTTCCATTTTATATCATTCATTCACATGAGAGGAGCACTCATTTAGTTGTTTTTGCTTAATGCAATAAATTATTTTGGAAGAATCTACAGAGAAGGGCTGGAGTGATAGCACAGCAGTAGGGCATTTGCCTTGCACGCAGCCAACATGGCCAACCCGAGTTCGATTCCTCCGCCCCTCTCGGAGAGCCCGGCAAGCTACCGAGAGTATTGGATATGCCAGACACAGTAACAACAAAGTCTCCAATGGAGACGTTACTGGGCCCGCTCGAGCAAATTGATGATCAACGGGAGGGCCTTTGCTACAGAGAATATTGAATTCATGGGTGAGATTGATGAAATGAAATAAAAGATGCATTTTTGTGGGTATAGATTTCAGGGATGCATGAAAACCCTCGGGGAAAATTTTTCACTGCCAATGTACAATTCCAAATTCTGAATGGAACGATGCTGTATGGAAGGGCCTTTGCTTACACTTACTTGAGATGCCCTGCCTTTATGAAAAATTGTGGGTAATCTCAAGTATTTTGTGACCAAGCATTTAGGCTCATGCTTTGTACAGTCTATGTTCCTAGAGAATCTGTCAGCTCGGAAACTGTCACATTTTCTGTGATTGATAAAACTCATCTTGAGCATGTGGCAAACTTAATTCAAAGGGATTAATTATACAAGCAATGTTTCATGAAATGGCGTCTGCTTTAATTTTATTGGTACCATTTTCTCCAAAAACTGCAGTTAAACAAATATACAGTGTGGGTTGATGAGGGTTGAAGCAATAGTACAGTGGGTGGGACAGTAGAACACATGAGACCAACCTAAGTTTGTTGCCTGGAACCCCATATTGACTTTGTCTCTGAGTACAGAGCCAGGAGTAAGCTTTCATCACAGCTCAGTGTGTTCCCCAAACCATATGTATATACAGAGAGAGGGGAGGAGAGAGAAAGAGAGAGAGAGAGAGAGAGATTTATTTTTTTAATTTATTTATTGAATCACCGTGAGAACAGTCACAAAGCCTTTCAGTTCAAGTCTCGGTTGGTCGTAAAATGATCAACCACCCATCCCTTCACCAGTGCACATTTCCCACCACCAAGAACCCCAGTATACCCCCTTCCCACCCACTCCCCGCCTGTGTGGCAGATTTCCACTTTTCTCTCTCTCTATGTTGATCACATTCAATATTACGACAAAAGACCCACCATTATTATTTGGATTTTTTCCCAATATTCAGACCTGCCAAAAAGACATCATTAGATAATTTATTTTTTATTGCTGACTAGGGAGAGCATATGATGTTGCATGGCCACAATAGCGGCCACGCGAGTTTGGATTTCTCATATTTTAGTAATAAACCTAGAGGGATTACTGCCTAAAGCCCCTGGGTTCTGAGATTGGTTTGTGTGCCTCTGGGATCATGGTCATTCAGAAGCTGGAGGAGGCATTTGAGGGTGGCAACCCAGAGCATTGTTGTGGTGTGGAGCAGGGCTGATTCCACCCCCATCCCCTCGTGCTTCATCAATGCAGTTTCATACTTGGCTGTTCATTAGTCTCTATAAGATGAAGGCCACTGTGCCGCTGCTGCAAGGGGAGACAGGCGGAGGGACACACACCCTTCCCCTCCCAGGGCGGCATTACACAATAGTTAAATGCACAGTCCAGATGCATTTTGATTGGACATTATATTTTTCTCAGATATTCCCACCACCATCCAAGCTTGTTTTTCAGGGACAAACGCTGGATCATTTGCTTTCCATTGATCACTTTGCATATCAGGAAATGTTGTGTGGATGCTTACATGGCTGAGCGGTTTAGTCCTGGTGCCCGCATAGCAGAGCATGCTTGTAGAAGCTTATGGTCACCAGGATTCCATCAGGAGAAGGTGAAGAGACAGCACCTACCCCATCTGGGACCTCCTGGTGATATTGGCTCAGTACAGGGCCCGGAGAATTCTCCGGGAGTTGTGGAGCCCACCAGCTGGTTTTCTTCACTGCTGTGTGCTGTAAGATGGTGCTGGGGGCAGGTTGTGGGTGTGACTTCTGGAATCAGAGGTTGTCTGGGAACTGGGGTGGTCCCCACACGGCTCAGAAGATAGTCCTGGTACCCGCATAGCAGAGCCATGCTTGTAGAAGCTCATGGTCACCAGGATTCCATCTGGGAAAGGTAGGGAGACAGCACCTACCCCATCTGGGACCTCCCAGTGATATCGGCTCAGTCCGGGGCCCAGAGAATTCTCTGGGAGTTGTGAAGCCCACCAGCCAGTTTTCTTCGCTACTGTGTGCTGTCAAGAGTGCTAGTTTTGAATCAAGGCACCAATACGGCACAGAGACTAATGGAGTTCTATCTCTAGCAATAAGTCACTAAGCTATTGAAGCAAGAAGAGCAAATTGCACATTTAAAATTATTGGTTGTTAACTATCTCATGGTGATTCAATAACATTAAAAAAATAAAAAAAAATTATTGGTTGTTGTTGAGCAAACTTTATAGATTTTCCTTCCCCAAATTACTATTTTTTTACATTTTTGAGTAAAAGGTCATTAAATATGAAAATCAAACTTGTATTTAGTTCAAGAAACAAATTCACTGTATAAAAGTATCTCATTACACAATGGCCACTCAATATATTTATTGCAAACTACAACACCCTAAAGGAAAGAGGGAGCAAAAGTGAATGCCCTGCCACAGAGGTAGGGTGCGGTGGGGGGATGGGATGGGGGGTGGGAGGGCTACTAGGATCATTGGTAGTGGAGAATGAGCATTGGTGGAGGGATAGGTACTTAATCATTGTATAACTGAAACCCAAGCATGAAAGTTTGTAAATCTACAACTGTACCTCATGGTGTTTCACTGTCACTGTCACTGTCACTCTTCTCCCACTGTTCATTGATTTTCTTGAGTAGGCCCAGTAACATTGAGACTTTTATTGTGTTTGGCATATCGAATACATCATGGGTAGCTTGCCAAGCTTTGCCGTGTGGGCGAGGTACTCTCGGTAACTTGCCAAGTTCTCTGAGAGGGGCAGAGGAATCGAACTCGGGTTGGCCATGTTGGCTGTGTGCAAGGCAAACACCCTACTCACTGTGCTATCAATCTAGCCCAGGAGTTTCATGAGTAAAAAAAAAAAAAAAAAGAAAAAGAAAAATATCTCATTTCTCTTTATTTTTATTTCTAGATGCTGTATTATGTAAAAGACATCCCAGCCACCCTAAAATTCTTTCATAGTCTTTTAGCTACCAATGCTAAGATTCTCATTATTCTTGTGTCAGGTAAGCTAGTTTTCATTCAATTTGAATTTAAGACAGTAATAATGCATGTGTGCATGGATTAATATGTTTGAAGGCAGTTCGTGTATTTCATCTTCATTATGCGATTCTTGGCTTGTGCTCATAGTTAATTAATTAACTTAGTATTAGCTAAGTCCTCCAAAATAGCTCTCAGTTTAAGAGTTCTGGGGACATGAAATGTCTACCTTTTTCATTTGGGAAATTTTCTCTTCATTCTCTGTATATAATTTATTTTTATGTAATGAAGAACAAATATAGCTCTCTTGATTTTTTTTAAATGAGACCAAAAAGAGTAACTTTATTGGATTGCCGACTTTTTGTCTCTTTCCCAACTCTACTAATAGATCATTTAATGTTCTATATTTGTAATATCATCATATTGTATTAATTTGTTTTTCAAAAGTCATAATCAACATATTTATTATAGATTTTCTCAAATAATTATAAAAAGTAGTTAACTTGGCCTGTTTTATTGTTTTTTTAAATTTTCTCAAAAAGTATTTAATTTTGTTTAGTTGTTTTCAGTGGCATAATATGTACCACACAGAAAACAGAAATAAATATTTTGCAAATTTAATATCGATATTCTTCATATCATTCATTAATTTCTTTTATTCAGCATACTTTATGGTTTGCACATATATTACTTTGCAGATTGAATCTATGTATATAATATGTAACAGTATCTTTCTGTTTTTTTTTTCCATTCAATAATTTTTATTGTTTTGACCTGCTGAGTGGTAAAAGTGGTGACACATAAATTGTCAGCAAATTTTATAGTACTTCATTTCTTTTTTTTTTTTTTTTCTTTTTTATTAGTGAAACGACATGAGGTACAGTTGTAGATTTACAAATTTTTGTGCTTGGATCTCGGTCATACCACGATCAAATACCCATCCCTCCACCAGTGCCCATTTTCCACCACCAGGATAATATCCCTCCCCCCCCATCCTCCCATCCCCCCATCCCCCCCTGCCACTGTGGCAGGGCATTCCCCCCTGTTCTCTCTCTCCTCCTGGGCGCTGTGATCAGCCACAGAGGCATTGAGTGGCGAACATGTTCAGTCCAGTCTACTTTCAACCTGCATCTCCCCTCCTGGGAGGATCCTCCAAACACCCTCCACTTGGTGTTCCCCTTTCTATCTGAATTGTCCTTTCCCCTAGAATACCCAGCTGGCCTCTAAGTTATGGAGTAATTCTCCTGGTGTTGCTCTCAGCTATTCTTGGGTATTAATCTCATATTTTATTATTTTATATCCCCGAGATGAATGCTATCTTTCTATGTCTATCCCTCTCTTTCTGACTCATTTCGCTTAGCATGATACTTTCCATATTGTGCCACTTGTATGTAAAGTTCATGACTTCATCTTTTCTAAGAGCCACATAGTACTCCATTGTGTAGATGTACCAAAGTTTCTTTAACCAGTCATCTGTTCTTGGGCACTCAGGTCTCTTCCAGTTTCTGGCTACTGTAAAGAGTGCTGCAATGAACAAACAAGTGCAGATGTCACTTCGGCTACACGTTTTTGCCTCTCTGGGATATATTCCCAGGAGTGGTATCGCTGGGTCAAATGGGAACTCAATTTCTAATTTTTTGAGGAACGTCCATACTGTTTTCCAGAAGGGCTGAACCAGTGGACAGTCCCACCAACAGTGAAGGAGTGTCCCTTTCTCGCCACATCCGCGCCAGCAACGGTTGCTTTTGTTCTTTTGAATGTGGGCCAGTCTCTGAGGTGTGAGATGGTATCTCATTGTGGTTTTGATCTGCATCTCCCTGATGATTAATGATGAAGAGCATTTTCTCATGTGCTTTTTTGCCATTCGGATTTCTTCTTTGAGAAAGTTTCTGTTCATTTCATTGCCCCATTTTTTGATGGGGTTGGATGTTTTCTTCTTGTGGAGTTCAACCAGTATTTTGTATATCCTTGATATCAATCCCTTGTCAGATGTGTATTCGGCGAATATTCTTTCCCATTCTGTAGGCTGTCTTTGTATTTTGGTCACTGTTTCTTTGGAGGTACAGAAGCTTCTTAGTTTAAGATAGTCCCATTTATCTATCTCTGTTTTCACTTGCTCAGCCAGTGGCGTGTCATCTTTGAACATACCATTAGCCTCAATGTCATGGAGGGTTTTGCCAACTTTGTCTTCAATGTATCTTATGGTTTCTGGTCTGATGTTGAGGTCTTTAATCCATTTTGATCTTACCTTTGTACATGGTGTTAGGCAGAGTTCTGAGCCCATTTTTTTGCATGTAGCCGTCCAGTGATGCCAGCACAATTTGTTAAAGAGGCTTTCCTTACTCCACTTCACATTACTTGCACCTTTATCAAAGATTAGATGATCATATGATTGGGGGGTGATGTCAGTGTATTCAACTCTGTTCCATTGGTCTGCAGTTCTGCCTTTGTTCCAGTACCATGCTGTTTTGATTATTACCGCTTTGTAGTAAAGTTTGAAGTTCGGGAGGTTGATTCCTCCCATTTTCTTTTTCCCCAGAATTGCTTTAGCTATTCTTGGGGGTTTATTGTTCCATATAAATTTCAGGAGTGTTTTCTCCATTTCTTTGAAGAATGTCATGGGTATCCTTATAGGGATTGCATTGAATTTGTACAGTGCTTTCGGTAGTATTGCCATTTTGACAATGTTCAGTCTTCCGACCCATGAGCAGGGGATGTCTTTCCATTTCCTCATGTCCTCTTTTATTTCCTGAAGTAGCGTTTTGTAGTTTTCTTTGTACAGGTCCTTTACTTCCTTAGTTAGGCTGATTCCTAGGTACTTGATTTTCTGGGGCACAATTGTGAACGGGATTGATTTTTTCATGTAGCTTTCCTCTCTCTCTCTGTTTGCATATAGGAAAGCCATGGACTTTTGGGTATTGATTTTATAACCTGCAACTTTACTATACAAGTCTATTGTTTCTAGGAGTTTTTTGGTGGAGGTTATTGGGTTCTCTAAGTATAGTATCATATCATCTGCGAATAGTGAGAGCTTTATTTCTTCCTTTCCTACCTGAATGCCCTTAATGTCTTTTTCTTGCCTAATTGCTATTGCAAGTACTTCCAGTACTATATTGAACAGCAGTGGAGAGAGTGGGCATCCTTGTCTCGTCCCTGATCTTAGAGGGAAGGCTCTCAGTTTTTCCCCATTGAGGATGATGCTTGCTGTAGGCTTGTGGTAGATGGCTTTAACTATGTTGAGGAAAGTCCCCTCTATGCCCATTTTGGCTAGGGTTTTCATCATAAAGGGGTGCTGGATCTTGTCAAATGCTTTCTCTGCATCTATTGATATGATCATATGCTTTTTATCTTTTCTTTTGTTGATATGATGGATTATGTTGATTGATTTCCGAATGTTGAACCATCCTTGCATCCCTGGGATGAATCCTACTTGGTCATGGTGTATGATCTTTTTGATGAGTAGTTGGATTCTATTTGCTAGTAGTTTGTTGAGGATCTTTGCATCTGTGTTCATCAGGGATATCAGCCTGTAGTTCTCTTTCTTTGTGTTATCTCTGTCTGCTTTTGGTATCAGTGTGATATTTGCTTCATAGAAACTGTTCGGAAGTGTGTTTGATATTTCAATTTCATGGAAAAGCTTAAAGAGGATTGGGAGTAAGTCTTCTTTAAAGATTTGAAAGAATTCACTGGTGAATCCATCCGGGCCAGGGCTTTTGTGCTTGGGGAGACTTTTTATTACCATTTCAATTTCCTTGATGGTGATAGGTCTGTTCAGGTATTCCAGGTCTTCTTGGTTCAGCCTTGGGAGTCTGTAGGAGTCTAGAAATTTATCCATTTCCTCGAGGTTTTGATGTTCTGTGGCATAAAGCTTTTCAAAGTACTCCCTGAGGATCCTTTGAATTTCTGTAGTTTCTGTCGTAATGACCCCCTTTTCATTTCTGATTTGGTTTATTAGGGTTTTCTCTCTCCCTTTCTTTGTGAGTTTTGCCAGGGGCTTATCGATTTTGTTAATTTTCTCAAAGAACCAGCTCTTGGTTTCATTGATCTTTCGGAATGTTTTCTGGGTTTCCATCTCGTTAATCTCTGCTCTGAGTTTTATTATTTCCTTCCTCCTGTTAGGGTTGTGCTCCTTTTGTTGGTCCTTCTCCAAGTTCTTAAGCTGTGAGGTTAGTTTATTTATGTGGGCTCGCTCCTCCTTCCTGAGGAATGCTTGTAGAGCTATAAACTTTCCTCTTAAGACTGCTTTTGCTGTGTCCCATAGGTTTTGGTAACTCGTGTCCTCATTTTCATTCGTTTCTAGGAATCTTTTGATTTCCTCTTTGATATCCTGTCTAAGCCACTCGTTGTTTAATAGCGCACTGTTTAATTTCCATGTGTTTAATTTAGTTTTCTGTTTTTGTGTGTGATTTACTTCTAATTTCAGCGCATTATGGTCTGAGAAGATTGTTGATATAATCTCTATCTTCTTAATTTTATGGAGGCATGTTTTGTGGCTCAGCATGTGGTCTATCTTGGAGAACGTTCCATGTACGCTTGAGAAGAATGTGTATTGAGCTTTTTGTGGATGAAGTGTCCTGTATATATCTACTAAGCCCCTTTCTTCCATTGTTTCCCTCAGATGAAGTATGTCCTTGCTAAGCTTGAGTCTGGTTGATCTATCAAGAGGTGACAAAGCGGTGTTGAGGTCTCCCACTAGTATCGTGTTGCTATAGATGTCTTTTTCCAAATCTATGAGTAGTTGTTTTAAGTACTTTGCTGGTCTCTCATTAGGTGCATATACATTTATTATTGTAAGTTCTTCCTATTGTACAGATCCTTTGGTCAATAGGAAATGGCCTTCACGTAACAGTATCTTTCTAAGCTTACACCAAGACTCCATATTTAAAAGCCATGTTTAATTTTATATTTCATATCAATAGCAGAATCACATCTGTTTGGTATATTCTAAAATATTTTCAAATATTAAAAGAGAAAAATAAAGAGATGGAATAGGGAGTAATTCTCAAAAATTAGTTAACTTTTTCTA